TTGCAGCTCAACTTTTCATTTCTCAGATTGTACACAATGTACATCCCACCATATGTGCAGTCATACATATACCTACAGTAATGATGTCCATCTCACTCCACCATCTTTCCTGCCCCCATGCACTCTTCCCACCCCACCCTCCCCTTTGCCCAGTCAAAGTTCCTCCATTTTCCCCATGCCCCCCCACCCGATGAATCAAAATCCACTTATCATTTGGCCTTTGGTTTGGGGATGATTGGCTTACTTCACTTAGCATGATATTCTCCAACCCCATCCATTTACCTACAAATGCCATAATTTTATTCTTTTTCTATGCTAAGAAATATTCCATTGTGTATATATACCACAGTTTCTTTATCCATTCATCTATTGAAGAGCATCTAGGTTGCTTCCACAGTTTAGCTATTGTGAATTGAGCTGCCATAAACATTGATGTGGCTGCGTTACTATAGTAACATCCTTTGGGTGTAGACGGAGGAGTGGGATAGCTGAGTCAAATAGTGAGTGGTTCCATCCCAAGTTTTCTAAGGAATCTCCATACTGCTTTCAGAGTGGTTGCACCAATTTCCAGTCCCACCAGATATGTATGAGTGTGCCTTTTCTTCCACATCCTCACTAACATTTATTGTTTGTATTCTTGATAACTGCCATTCTGACTGGAGTGAGGTGAAATCTTAGAGTAGTTTTGATTTGCATTTCTCTAATTACTAAAGATGTTGAACATTTTTCCATATATTTGTTGACCGATTGTAAATATTCTTCTAAGAACTGTCTGTTCAGCTCCTTAGCCCATTGATTGATAGGGTTGTTTTGGGGGGGGTTGGTATTAGTTTTTTGAGTTCTTTATATATCCTGGAGATTAGTCCTCCCTACCCTCATACCCCCTCCCCTCTCTTCATTTCCCTCTGTGTAATCCAAAGTATCTCTATTCTTTCCTAGCCCTACCTCATTGTGAATTAGTATCCACATATCAAGAGAAAACATCCAAACTTTGGTTCTTTGGGTTTGGCTATTTTGCTTAGCATGATATTCCCCAACTTCATCCATTTACCAGCAAATGCCATGATTTCATTTTAAGTCTGAGCAATATTCCATTATGTGATATATATAATCACAATTTCTTTATCCATTTATCTGTTGAAGGGAATCTAGTTTGGTTCTTCAGTTTAGCTATTGTGAATTGTGCTGCTATAAACATTGATGTGGCATCACTATAGATGCTGTTTTTAACCCCTTTGGGTATAGATGGAGTAGTGGGATATCTGGGTCAAATGACAGTTTCATTCCAAGTTTTCTGAGGAATCTCCTTAGTGTTTTTCAGATTGGTTGCACCACTTTGTAGTCCCACCAACAATGTATGATTGTAGTTTTTCCCCCACAACCTCGCCAACACTTATTATTGCTTGAATTCTTGATAATTATCATTCTGACTGGAGTGAAATAAAAGAGTAGTTTTGATTTGAATTTCTCTAATTACTAGAGATGTTGAACATTTTTTCATATATTTGTTGATCAATTGTATATCTTCTTCTGAGAAGTGTCTGTTCAACTCCTTAGCCCGTTTATTGATTGGGTTGTTTTTGTTTTGTTTTGTTTTGGTGTTTAGTTTTTGAGTTCTTTATATATCCTGGAGAATAGTGCTCTAATATGCATGTGCTAAAGATTTTTTCCCACCCTGCAGGCTCTCTTTTCACATTATTGTTTCTTTTATGAGAGTTTTTTAGTTTGAATCCATTCTATTTATCGATTTTTGATTTTATTTCTTGTGCTTTAGGAATCTTGTTAAGGAAGTTGGGGCCTAATCGAACATGATGAAGATTTGGGCCTACTTTTTCCTCTATTAGATGCACGGTCTCTGGTCTAATTTCTAGGTTCTTGATCCACTTTGAGTTAAGTTTTGTGCATAGTGAGACATAGGGATTTAATTTCATTTTGCTGTGTATGCATTTCCAGTTTTCCCAGCACCATTTGTTGGAAAGGCTATCTTTTCTCCAATGTATGTTTTTGGTGCCTTTGTCTAATATGAGATAACTGTATTTATATGGGTTAGTCTCTGTGTCTTCCATTTTGTACCCTTAGTCTACAAGTCTTTTGGGTACCAATACCATGCCATTTTTGTTACTATAGCTTTGTAGTATAATTTAAGGTCTGGTATTGCAATGCCTCCTGATTCTTTCTTTTTGCTAAGGATTGCTTTGGCTATTCTGCATCTCTTATTTTTTCAAATGAATTTCATGATCATTTTTCTATTTATATGAGGAATTCCATTGGGATTTTAATTGGAATTGCATTAAATCTGTATAGCACTTTTGGTAATATGTCCATTTTTACAATATTAGTTCTGCCTATCCAAGAATATGGGAAATCTTTCCATCTTCTAAGGTCTTCTTCAATTTCTTTCTTTAGTGTTYTGTAGTTTTCACTTTATCTCTTTTGTAAATTGATTCCCAAGTATTTTATTCTTTTCTGAGACTATTGTGAATGGGGTAATTTTTCTAATTTCTCTTTCAGAGGATTCATCACTGATATATATAAATGCATTTGATTTATGGGTATTGATTTTATATCCTGCTACTTTGCTTAATTCATTAATTCTAGAGTTTTTTGGAAGAATTTTTTGAATCCTCTAAATACAGAATCATGTCATTAGCAAATATCCTTTTAATTTCTTTCATCTGTCAAGTTTCTCTCTCTGGAGTTTCAAGAACTATGTTGAATAGAAGTAGTGAAAGAGGGCATCCCTGTCATATTCCAGTTTTTAGAGAGAATGCATCTAGTTCTCCATTTAGAATAATATTGGCCTTGGGTTTAGCATATACAGCTTGTACAATGTTGAGGTATGTTCCTACTATCCCTAGTTTTTCTAGTATTTTGAACATAAAAGGGTGCTACATTTTGCCAAATGCTTTTTTGCATCTATTAATATAATCTTTAAGTCTATTGATGTAATTAATTAAATTTGCTGATTTCCATATGTTGAACCAACTTTGCATCCCTGGGATGAACCCCACTTGATCATGGTGTGCTATATTTTTAATATGTTTTTGTATGCAAATTTTCAGAATTTTATTGAGAATTTTTGCATCTATGTTCATCAGGAATATTGATCTAAAGTTTTCTTTCCTTAATGTGCCTTTGTCTGATTTTGGTATCATGGTGATAATAGCCTCATAGAATGAGTTTGGAAGTGGTAGAGCTCTCACCTCACATGTGGGATGCACTAGGTTCAATCCTCAGCATCACATAAAAATACAATAAAGGTATTGTGTCCATATACAACTAAAAATATTTTTAAATGAGTTTGGAAGTCTTCCCTCCTTTTCTATTTCATGGAATAATTTGAGGAGTATTGGTATTAATTCTTCTTTGAAGGTCTTATAAAACTCAGCAGAGAATCCATCTGGTTCTGGGCTTTTCTTGGCTGGTAGGTTTTTGATGGTGTCTTCAATTTCATTGCTTGAAATTGGTCTGTTTAAATTGTGTATGTCCTCCTGATTCAGTTTGGGCACATCATATGCCTCTAGAAATTTGTTTTTTGAGATTATCTATTTTATGGGAGTATAAATTTTCAAAATAGTTTCTAACTATCTTCTCTATTTCAATAGTGTTTGTCATGGTATTTCCTTTTTCATCATGAATTTTAGTAATTTGAGTTTTGTCTCCTTTTCATTAAGTGGCTAAGTGTTTATCAATTTTATTTATTTTTTCAAAGAATCAGCTTTTGTCAATTTTTTCAATTGTTTCTTTTGTTTCAATTTCATTGATTTCATCCCTGATTTGAATTATTTAACAGGGAAATAATTTCAAATAATCAAAAAGAACTTCTGGCAGGTAAGGATCTTGGAGATTTTCACAATGTTCTCACAACATATAAAGTCTGCAAACACCAAAATCGACTCTTCTTAGATCTGTCAGAGAATCAGTGGTCACCTCACAGATGATCCACCTTCCACTTTCAGACTCTGCAGACTGCTCTCCACATAACAACTATGGAGCTCTTGACAAGGTCAATCTGTTCATGAACAACTTACAGAGCATCCCCTAATTGTTTCTCTCTGTGCTCACCATAGGACCAGACTCCTCCCTCCTTCCCCAACCTTGTAGGATCATCTGGCTCTCCAAATTTTCCCTGAGTCCCATCCTGGGTAACAGAATGCTAAAGGACCTGATTTGAAGGGCTCTTACTCACTCACCCCTTTGGGGACCCACATTGGCCAAGGAAAAGCTACTGCTCCAAARAGAAGCAGCCCCTTGCAAGTTTTCCACACTCTTTACCTCATCTCATCCCCTGCCTGGTACTTGATACATATAAAGCTCCCAATTAAATGAAGAAAGAAAAGAAGGAAAGGAAGGAGAAAGGAAAAGAAAAGGGGGAGGAGAAGGAGGCGATGGGCCAATGCATGCAGTGAGTGGGTGAATTGTGGGTGCATGATTGAGCACGTATTTGAGTGAGTGAATGGATGGATGGTTTGGTGGGTGGGTAAATCCAAACCAGGAGTAGCACAGAGCTTTGGTACCTGATGTTTATATGTAAAGGGACTGAAGTCAGTACCTGGATTCTAATCCCAGCTCTGAACTGGGGTACGACCTTGGGCCATTAATGTTTTTAAGCCTCATCCCCTCAGACCAGGGCAGGGAGAGAATGTAACTCAGGAGATTCTGGCCCAGACAAATCCATCTAGAAAGGAGGCAGGGAGTGGAGGACCCTGTTTTGTGGTGGGGGCAGAAATGGAGGAAAAGAGAACAGAGAGACAGATGACTGTTGCCTGGTGTTGCCTCTAAGAGACCATGAGACTCTCCCCCAGCGCTACTTTCCCAGTATGTGCTAAGATTCTTCCTCACCACCCTAAAACTTCTGGGGAGGATTGCATATGAAATATGAGATAGAGCAGAATTTCTGATGGACAATGGAACATTTTATTGAGCATTTGTTGGTGGCAGGGGAAGGGCTTGGGATGTTAAGGGTAGGAGGGGAGACCCCTCCCCTGGGTTTTTCAGTTCTAGGTCTCTGCATATGGGGTGAGGGTTGGAGACCAGGAACACTTTGCCAGAGACACATTCTTTTCTACAGTGCTCCCTTCATGTGTGACCTGGCAGGTGTATGTGCCATGAGATATCCACTGGTCAGGTGTCACAGTCAGGTAGCTGCTGGCCATATACTTGTTATTTCTCTGTTTGGAGGGCTGGGTGGTCTCCACACCCTGGGTGATGGTGGTGCCATTAGCTTTCCAGGCCACCATCACAGTGCCCGGGTAGAAGTCATTCATCAGACACACCAGTGTGGCTTTGTTGACCTGGAGCTCCTCAGAGGAGGGTGGGAACAGAGTGACCAAGGGAGCAGACTTGGGCTGGTCTGTGTGAATAGAAGAGGGAGTATGAGTCACTAGAGGAGATTTTAAGTGTTGGGATCACACACACACACACACACACACACACACACAGCCCTAAAAATCTCCATGACCATTCACAGTGTGGCCATCTCGTCCAGCTGAGGACCGACCTTCCCTCCGCCTTTCCACTAGAGCATTTGAGTGCTCTCAAGTAGACACCTCTGAATGGTTCCTGGAAGTTCTTCCCAAGTTACCTCTCCCAGGTTACCTCTACCCGACCCAGTCCCTCCCCTTGCAGCCCCCAGGACAGACTGTGCTCCCTCCCTCTTGGTTTCTGAGTTTGGAATCTAACCCTCAGCTCCTAAGCCCTCATCCCAGCCCAGGCTCCCACCTCCATTTATTCTTCCAGCGTCCAGAGCCTCTTCTGTGAAGTGGGGGTCCCCATTCAGCCTAGAAGGATGGTCCTAATGTATGTGTGGAGGTCCCAAGCCTGAGCCCACTACACGGGGATGGGTGGAAGGACGAAGCAGAGCCTATTCTCTGAGAGGGCAGGAAGCTCCAGGCCAGTCCACTCGGCTCTGCTGGCAAGTGTTGGTTCCAATCAGACAATCCCTGAGGGCTCCTCCAACACTACTGTCTCCCCTGTCTCCACTGGCCTGATCACAAAGACCCTTCATTTTGGTTATGTTCTGACAACTCCTAATTTTACCTGGAAGTCAGGTATCTCGAACACTCCCCCCATTCATGTCACCATCCCTCATTTTTTAAATGTGCCCCTCAAGGAAGGTGGTAGGCTGACTCACGGACAAGTGACACATATGGCCCCAGAGGTAAAGGGTTTCAGGAACAAATGAGTGTCTGCCCTATGGGACCCCCTCCTTTCTGATGGCCATGCTGGGAAGGCCAGGCTCTGATTCATCTGCCCCATCTCTATGTCCATGTCTCCATGGCCCAGCAGAGGCCCAAAGAACTAGAGCCTAGAGGGAGTCAGACGCCTCTCCCTGCCCCCTGTTGGTCTCTACTTGGGATGACCTCTTGAGTCCCACAGTCTGGGGTCACAGTCCCAGCCATATTTCTGGGCCTCCCATGTGGTCTCCTGGCCTGGATGAGATGAGCATCTGCCCCTCAACCCAGATGACAGAGGCCCAAGAACCCTGTTTAAGGCCTGGTTTCCCCTCACCAGACTTGGCCCCTTGCCTCCACTTGGCATATACCTAGAAGAAGGGAAGGAGCCCCATCCCTGACTAAACCCCCAGCCCAGGACCCTGGGCAGGCTGAATCTCACTGTTAGAATCTGAAGGTGGCTGCTCTTGCTGTTTGAGACCTTCCCGATGGTTACCCAAAGATCACCCACTACCTCCACACCCCATGAAAAAAGATAATGGATAAGACCTTTAGTCTGGGGAGGGCAGAGAGGGGAAAAAATCCAAGAAAAAGATAATCAACAGTCCTAAAACAGCAAAGGGGTGGGAAGGTTGGGAAAGGCTGTGAGAGTCACTTACCTAGGACAGTGAGTTGGGTTCCACCACCAAAGATGAACCATGGTGACTGAGGCTCAGACCAAAACCCATGGAACCAGCATCTGGGGCCTGCCCCCTGGGGCCCAGGCTGGAGTGGGAACCTGCTGGGAATGATGAGAATAGAGTGAGCTGTGACCCCAGGGGAAGGCAGGTGGGCTATCAGCTCCCCAGAGGCCTGTCCCATTGTCCCAAAGCAAGTGCCATCCATGGCCTCAGAGTCACCCCACTTTTGCCCCCACCTCCCCCATATCTGAGATTGTTGATGATGATTACAACATTGGGCACAGTCAGTACTCAGCAAGTCCCTGAGTGATGTGTCTTCCCGGGTGGGTGTTGAATGGCAAGGAGTACTGCACTGGATCATCTTGGGGCCTCTGGGTCTCCTTTACACAAGTTTCCCATGGTCTAGCTGGGCTAGCTTCCTCCCTGGACCCACAAGCACTGAGTCATTCTTGACTTAAGGCGCTCCTAGGTGGAGACCCCTCGGCTTTCATTCCTATTCAAAGATGCAGCTCAGTCCCATCTCATTTCTGAGGCCTTCTCTGATCTTTCAGGGCACTTTTTCCCACCCATCTATCTAGTCATGTCTCTGAGCACAGACCCATATATCTTTACATCCATTGGTCCATCCATCTGTTTATCCATTCATCTATCCATCCATTCTTCATCCCGTTTGCACCAGGCACTGTTTCACATGCTGAGGATGTGGCAGAGTCCCCTTGGCTCTCAATCCCATCTCCCTCTGACACCTCTCAGGTTAAGGCCTATAAAGCCCCCATCATTGTTAAATCCAAGGTCCCTTCCCCATTCCTGTTGTACAGGATATCTCTGAAGGATGCAGCAAGAGGTCCTCCCTCTTTCCAAAATTGGTGCAATTACTCTGGAAAGCAGTATAGAGATTCTCCAGAAAACTTGGAATGAAACCACCATTTGAACCAGCTATCCCACTCCTCAGTATATACAAAAAGGACTTAAAACCAGCATAATACTCTGACACAGCCACATCAATGTTTATAGCAGCGAAATTCACAATAGCAAAACTATGGAAGCAACCTGGATGCCCTTCGACAGATGATTGGTTAAAGAAAATATTTTATATATACACAATGGAATATTACTCCGCCATAAATAAGAATGAAATTGTGGCATTTGCTGGTAAATGGATGGCCCTGGAGACTATCATGCTAAGTGAAATAAGCCAATCCCAAAACACCAAAGCCAAATGTTCTCTCTGATATGAAGATGCTAACACACAATAAGAAGGAGGAGGAAAGAACAGAAGTTCATTGGACTAGACAAAGGAAATGAAGGAAGGGAGGGGAGATGGAAATAGCAAAGACAGTAGAATGAATCAGACATAACTTCCCTGTGTTCATGTATGAACACATGACTAGTGAAATACTACATCATGTATAAGAATTGGATCCTAATTAGAATAAATTATTCTCCATGTATGTATAATATGTCAAAATATAACTCTACTGTCATGTATATCTAAAATAATTTTTAAAAAGACTCTCTTCCTTGGGTATCTCCTCCTTCTCTGGGTTCCCTTTCTCCATGGACCATGCCTGAATTCTAGTCCCCAGACCCACCACTGCCATCATCCATCATCTCACACTGTGCACTCCAACTACTGTCCACATGGTAAGCCTCAAGACGATCTCAGTGGAAAACCACCTTGGCTCCCCCTAAATTGCCTACTGACCATCTTCAGCCAGATGCCCAACAGGAAGCTCAAAATCATGTTTAAATGAGATTTACACCCTGCCTCTACCCAGCTCTCTTGCTGTCTCATCACAATGACCATAAACACTCTTGCTCTCCAGGCTGGAAAACTAGAGTCACTATAGATTCAGACCACAGTAAATTAGTTGTAATTAATGTAATTTTACTCTGGCCTCCCACCGTAAAATGACCTCTCTGTCCTTAGATGCTGCATCTAAACACCCTTTTTTGAGTTAAACTAAAGCTGAAATATTAAGAAAACTAAAATGACCCTCTGAGACTCCAAATCTACAAGAAGATCTAGGTTTTGCCTTTGCTGATTTTAATTACAAAGATGCAGCATTGAGTTGGTACTAACTGGATGCATGCATCTCTATCAGGAGGTTGCATTTCCACCTTAGAGCTCATCCAGTAAGCAGTAGGAGGCAAATTCACGACTTTTTGCTTAAAAATCCTTTTTTTGTTTTCAAGATTTTAAAAATATTATACAAGCAATGCAGAAGTGCATTTTAAAAGTTTACATTAGGTTAGCCAGGCATGATGGTACATGCCTGCTGGGGTAGGAGAATTGTGAATTCAATGCCAACCTCAGCAACTTAGCGAAGCCCTAAGCAACTTAGAAAGACCCTGCTTCAAAATAAGAAAATGTGGCTCAGTGGTTAAGTACCCCTGGGTTCAATCCCTGGTACAAAAAAAATCAGTTAAAAAAAAGCATAATATTAAGTTGGAGCACAAGGATCACAAGTTTAAGGCCAGCCTGGGCAACTTTGTGAGAGCTGGTCTCAAAACAGAAAACAAAAAAGGGCTGGGGATGTAGCTCAGTGGTTGGGTTCAGTCCCCAGTACCACAAAAAAAATGAAAAATAAAAGGTGCAATATTTATCATTCCATCTCTCTCCTGCTAGTTACATTTCCTTTTTTTAAAAAAAAATTGTGGTAAAACATATATAGCTTATAAGTTTCCACTTTCGCCATTTTTAACTGTCTAGTTCAGTGCATTGTTGTGGAACCATCACCACCACCCATCTCCAGAACTTTTTCATCTCCCTAAATAGAAATTCTGTACCCATTAAGTAATAACTTATCCCCCACCGCCTGCCACCTGTCCCTTGTGACCTCTACTGTACTTTCCATCTGTATGAATTTGCCTACTGTTTAAGTACCTCATATGAGTGAAATTATATGGTCATTGTCCTTTTGAGTCTCCTTGTTTCACTTAGCATAACATTAAGTTTCATTGGTGTCACAGAAAAATTTTGAAAATAGTTTTTAATTAATCGAGACAAAAACATAATAAAATAATTAACAATTAAAACCTGTTAAAATTAATCCAAAATCTATTTCCCCAAAACAAAAAGAAATGATTCTTAAGCTATGACTAGAAGATATACTTGCTGCTGGGGATGGAACCCAGGGCCTTGCACATGCTAGCAAGTGGTCAACCACTGGGCTACACCACCATGCAAGCCATAATCATTCTTAACTATGAAATATTACATGCATGCTCATTAAAGTCTGAAAACAAGCCATGACATCCTTTGTCCCTTTCATTTATATCATTATGGAGGTTCTAAACAATACAATAAGATAAACTGGGAGTATCAATATTAGAAATAAAGATATCAGGTTGAAAGACTACTAAAAGAAATAAGAAATCAGTATATTAAAATTGGTAACTTTTGCTGGGCGCTATGTTATGCATCTATAATCCCAGCAACTCAGAGTCTGAGGCTGAAGAATCACAAGTTTGAAGCCAGCCTTGGCAAATTATAAGACCCTGTCTCAAAACAGGCATAGGTTCTACATGGTCCAGCTGGGCCATGGGAAAACCTGTGGACATAGCTCAGCAGTAGAGTCTCCTTGAGTTTGATCTCCAGGACTGGGGGAAAAGATGGCAACTTTCTTTTCATAATCAATAGTGAATTAGGTTGTGTAATGGGGTAAATTGCATTCTCAGTAGCAATAGAATAAAAAAACACCTAYGAATGGCTTAATAAGAAATATACAAAACCACTGGGCATGGTGGTGTGTGCCTGTAGTCCCAGCTACTCAGGAGACAGAGGGGAGGATTCTGAAGCCCAAGTGTTGAAAACCAGCCTGGGAAACAGCAAAATTCCATCTCAGAAACAAAAAAAGAAAAGATCAAGAAGAAAGAGAAGATGAAAGAAGGAAGAGAGAGAGGGAGGAAGGGAGATGGATGCAAAATCCACATGAATAAAACTATTTTTAAAATTTAAAAAAGTACGCAAGAGATACAAGCCCTGTTACTAGACAGAAAGGACAAATACTATAAAGATTCTAATTATTTCTGAAGCCAGCCAATAAAAGTGATTTACTTATAATCACAATTCTTATTTTCAAAAATAATTAATGGATTGATTTTAAAACCAAAACTGCCATGAGATGCCATTTCATCGACTGTAGGATGGCTGTGAATTTTTTAATGACAAGTATTTAAACGGATATAGAGAAATTATAACTTTTGCACATTGCTAGTGAGAATGTAAAATGGTACAATCTCTGTGAATATTATCTTGGTGGTTCCTCAAAAAGTTAAATACAAAGTCATCATATGACCCAGCAATTCTGCTGTTAGGCACATACACAAAAGAATTGAAAACAAGTATTAAAACAAAAACTTGTACACAAATGTTAATAAAAGCACAAATCTCAATAACCAAAAGTGGAAATTACTCCAAGGTCAAAGTGTGATATAGCCATTTAATGGAACATTATTTGTTCATAAAAAAAAATGAAGTGTTGACACATACTACAACATGGGTGAACCTTGAAAACATTATGCTAAGTTAAATAAGCCAGACTCAAAAGACCATATATTGTATGCTTCCTTCTATATGAAATATCCAGAATAGGTAAAACCATGGAAGCAGAAAGCAGATTAGTGACTGTCAGGGGCAGTTTCTAATAAATACACCCAAAGCAAACCCTACTCCTAGGTATCTATGAAAACTTAGGTTTAAAAGCAAACTTGTACGCAAACCTTTATGCCAACCTTATTTACCATTTCCCCAAACAGGAAACAATCCGAATATCCTTCAACTGGTGAATGGTTAAACAAATTGTGAAATATTCATACATGAAATATTACCCAGCAAAAAAAAAAAGTAACAAAATATTGATAAAGGACAAATACTGTGAAGATTCAGCATGGATGAATTGCAAAGGTGTTATACTGAGCACAGATCCAAAGGGTGCATAGCTGGAATCCTACTCAGAAAAAAAAGGAAAAAAAAAAAACCTGTGATACATCYGACCACCTGGATGCATATCCAGAAAATTAGACTAAGGAGGGGAAAACAAGTCAGTTCCAAAAGGTTACATATTGCATGATTCCATTTATAGAACATGGATGGGGATATTGCTCTGAGGTAGAACATGTGCTTAGGATACGTAAAGCATTGGGTTAAATTCCCAGTAAAACACACACAGAGACTATTTACAGAATACACACACACACACACACACACACACACACACTTTTTTTTTTTTTTTGGTACCTGAAACTGAACCCAGGGGTGCTTAACCACTGAGCCACTTCCCAGCCCTTTTAATTTTTTTGAGACAGTGTCCCACTAAGTTGCTTAGGGTCTCACTCAGTAACAGGCTGGCCTTGAACTTGGAATTTATGATCCTCCTATCTCAGCCTTCCAAGTTGCTAGGATTACAGGCATACACCACGATACCCGGTTTATAGAAAATTCTTGAAATGACAATATTTAGAAATAGAGACCAAATTAGTAGTTTCCAAAGGTTAAGAAGGGTTTAAGAGAGATGGAAATGAGTGTTGCCATAAAAGAGAAACATGAATGATGTTTGTGATGGCCAAAAGGTTCTATTGCCTATCAATGTTCTGGTTGTAATATTTTTACTACAGGTTTGGCAGATGTTATTATTTAATGAATTAAAAAGTATATTGGATGCCTCTTATTTCTTATAACTGCATGTGAATCTATAATTACCTCAAAAATAAAGGTTTAATTTAATAAAAGTTTACAAACTATATGATTCCACTGATACAATATTCTAGAAAAGGCAAAACCATAGGGTCAAAAAAGAGACAACTTGATACCATGGTTATGTTATTTGACTACAAAAGGGCATAGAGAAATTTCAGGGAGGGGTGTGATAGAAATATTCTGTATTTGATTGTAGTGGTGGATACACGAGTCTGTTGTTCTTTCTAAATTTATATTATTTTTTGCTATACCAAAAAGAATAAATTTTACTTTGTGTACATTAAAATAAAATAGGAAGTAGGACATATTGCAGTTGGAGCCCATGTTCCACACTCTGCCCACTGCTGTTTTCGAATGGTGCTCCTATCACCAGCCAGAGCCCCTCCAACTGTGAGACCTGATTGGGCATCCACAACGTAGAAAGAATAACCTTTATTGCCCCTGAAAAGGACCATTGGTCTGTCCCCAAGACTAGTCAGGTCCCCTTGGCTCAGGCCCACCCTCTCTGTTTCCCCTGGTCTAACTCCCAGGAAATGTTTACAGATAAATCAGTAAGAGAACATTCTTGGAGAAGACTAGCCAATTCTCTTGGACCATTTTGTTTAAAATACAGGACCTGCCAATATGGTCACGCACTTTCTTAACTGCCCATCAAGACATCAGGGGGTGAGGAGCAGTGGCACACAACTATAATCCCAGCTACTTGTGAGGCTGAAGTGACAGGATCCTGAGTTCCACCAGCCTGGGCAAGTTAGCAAGACAAGAAAGAAAAAGAAAGAAAGAAAGAAAGAAAGAAAGAAAGAAAGAAAGAAAGAAAGAAAGAAAGAAAGAAAGAAAGAAAGAAAGAAGGAAGGAAGGAAGGAAGGAAGGAAGGAAGGAAGGAAGGAAGGAAGGAAGGAAGGAAGGAAGGAAGGGAGGGAGGGAAATAGGTAGTTCTTGCTTCTCTCTGTTGTATTTCCTTTACCTCCTGGATCTGACCCCTTATCTATTAAATTCTGCCTGGGCACCACAAAATCCTCCCTGGAGACTCCCAAATTCCAGAATCCGGCCTTGCCCACCCATTTAAGTCTAGTCATGTTGCTGCCTTGTAAATATTCCCCAGGACTCTCCCAGATGAAGTGTGTGCTCCCAGGACAGGACCTCTGGGTCTGGGCCTGGCTTTCTAAGCCCAGCCTCCTCTCAGACTACCTTCATCCCAAGACCCACCAGATGCAGCCCTGTCAAGCACCAGGAGTTTCCTGAGAGTTCTATACCTGCAATACTCTTTCCCAGGTGGAACCCTCTACCTGTTTTCTATTCTAGGTCAGTCTCTGTCCTGCGGGCAACACACCTGTGACTATCATCTCGCTGAGTCTCCTCTCACTGTAGTCTGAGTTGGGGTAAATCTTGTTCCTTCAGAAAACCAGCCCTGGCAGAGAACCTGACCGTGATGGGGACTCTGTGCTCAACAGTCCCTGCAGTACGTTGAGTCCCTCACCCTGGCCATACCACATGTGCTGACCCAACCTCCATGGTAGAACTCCTAATGCAGCAGAGAGCCAGCTCATCCAGTTGGAGCCTCTCACTATGACAACCCTACCATCCTCTGGGCAGGTACTAGACTGCAAGGTCCTTGCCCAATTAGAATTCCTCACTTAGGTGAACTCATCAACTCCACCAGCTTACAGGAAGGAAACAGCAAAGAGCTGGATGAATCAAGCTCAGGTCTTGGGGTCTTGGCCCATGATCTGTGTGACCTTAGGTAGGTCACCTCACCTCTCACCTCTCTGGCCTCTGTAAAAAGGGAATAACAGCAGATCCTGCCTTGAGGGGCCACTGAGGGGGAGGTTCTTCCCCTTCAATGATTAGCACCCACTGGAGTGTACCAGTGGTGTTGTACCAGAGAGTGTCATAAATGGATCAGATACTCAGTATTTTGTCCACGGACTTTCCACCACAAACAGAGGAGAGGGGGCTCAGGTCATATCATAAATTGGGACATGCTGCACCCCACACAGAACCTACCCTGGGATTTTCCCTGGAAGGACTTGAGCTCCTGGAGAAAGGGACATTTGCTGAGGGTCTGATTACCTGGGGACTATGTGGAAGGCATCACCTGCAACACCAGCTAGAGCCTATCTCCTGGTGCTCTGGACTGCCACCACCTGCCACCTGCCACAGACATTACCAGCACCTCCTTATCTGCCTTACTCAAAGGACTAGGAGGAAGCCAGTGAGCTACTTGCCTTGATGCATAATTTAAGGAGAGCCAGAAGACTGACAAGTCAAGATAAAAAGTATTTTAACACAATATTTAAAAGTAATAAGTATTACAAGCAGCCCTGACAGAGAACCTGTCCAGGATCCTGTCTCAGGCTGATCCTTCCTTCCCACCCCTCTGGTCATTCATTCATGTCCAGAACAATAGGGTCTCCCACAACACACGTGGCCCATTACCTGCCCCACAGTTTCTGCAGGCTGGAGGGGCTGCTTCCTGCTCGGGCTCTGAGGCCTGGATCCCTGCTCCACGGTGCTGCTGTTGGGGGCAGAAGATCCTGGGCACCTACAGCCAGGCCCAGAAGCAATAGCTGCAGAAGAGCCCAGCACTGCCTGGGGCCAAAGCATAGCCCCCCAGGGACAGTGCCCATTTGGCCTGTCGTGGATTTCATCCGTCGTCAGGAACAAAGGCACTTCTGGCCCCAGGAGCTGTGTGGGTTTCCTGGAGAGGATGCCCCTGGTCCTCTTGCTGGCAGCAGCCACTCAAATGCACACACACAGGTCTATGTAGCCAGTCCTTGCCCTGAAGGCTTTGGTCCCTGCCCCCAGCCTGTCCCCCTGCAGGGCCCATGGCCGTTAACTCTAAGGGTCTTTCCTAGAGAAACATCTGCTAACTGTTTTGCTGTGGTCAGGATTTGAGCTCAACTGCTTCCCATCACAGGGGCTGTCTTGGCCCCACCTCTGGGGCCCCCGGTGGGACAACTCTTGGCCCCTGTTCCCCAGTTCCCCAAGGACATCTTGGCAGGCTCAAGGGGCTGTAGACAGTGGCTGAGTCCCTGCAGAACAAGATTCCCCAGAGAGCTTGAGTTCAAGGGATGGGGAAGGATTGGGATGCTTCTGACCAGCAGGGAGTAGGGGATATATGGTGAGAGAAGGGTCCCGTGGTTAAGAAAACTTGCATTAGACTTGGAACTGCGAGAGAGGAGGGGGCTTTTCAATTCATTTTGCAATCCATTTTTGCATCTAGCACTACCATTTACACACAGCAGGCAAGGCTTTCTAGTGGGTATGTGAATGAATGGACCAGTGTTAGTTACCAGCTTCCTAAGCCTCTTCCTCTGTGCCATGGCTCCTGCATGGGAAGCTCATGCCCATTGGGGCTCCCTGGCTAGGGGAGTCACCAAGGGTCCCTTGTCAGTGAAGCTCCTGCTCTAAGGGAAAAGGTGTTTGAATGAAATTAGCATTTAAGTTGGTGAATTTTGACTTTCCCAGCGAATCAACTCTTGGTGAAGTCAATGATTTCCATTGGCCTCCATCACCTCCTGGGCAAATGCAAACACCTTTTAACAAGGCTGTTCTATGTAGTTGCATTTGAACTTTTCAAAGTGTAGTCTGTAGGCTGGTAGCAACAATATCACCTGGAAGCCTATAAAGAATACCACATTTCAGCACCTTACTAAACCTGCTGGATCTGAATCTACATTTTTTTTTTTTTTTTGGTACCAGAGATTGAACTCAAGGGCACTCGGCCACTGATCCACATCCCCAGCCCTTTTTTGTATTTTATTTAGAGATAGAGTCTCACTGAGTTGCTTAGGGCCTCGCCATTGCTGAGGCTGGCTTTGAACTCACGATCCTCCTGCTTCAGTCTCCTGAGCCACTGGCATTATAGGCGTGCATCACCATGCCTGGCTTGAGCCTACATTTTGATATCTGGTGTAAAATGCTGGTGGTGGCAAAAGTTCTGGGACCTGGTCATATCAGACCCTGAGGCCCAGAGCTCACCTTGCTTCAGGTAGGAGGGCAGAGGGGAAGCCCCGAGAAATGTCATGAACCCCGGGAGATAAGCCCTGCTCAGAGCCACAAGGAGCCCTTTGACATGACAGGGTCACATTTGCACAAGACCTACACAAATGACAGTGCCTGAGAGCCCTGCCCAGCTGTGGGCAGGGACAGTACTCTGAGATCTCTCCACCGAGACCTGGACCCCAATCCTGCTCTCCCTCTTCACTTTTTGCACAGATGCAGCCACCCTCACCCTGCCCACAGGCTCAGCCCCGTAGGACCCTGAGCTGGGCCTGCCTCAACCCCTGAGTTCAACCCAGTCACAGTCCCAGGGGTGGCACCTAGGGACTAGGCTCTTCATTCTCAAGCCCCTTCTCCTCTCCCTCCTTACAGGCTTTGTGTCAGTGGTCCCAGGACAAATGGACACAATCACCTCTTCTTTTTTTTTAATTTCTGCATATTTTTAGTGGTGCATTATAGTTGTACATAATGGCAGGATTTGTTGTTACATATTTGTACAATATAACTTTGCCAACATCATTCCCCAATACCTCTCCTTTCTCTCCTCTCCTTCTTTTGGTCCCCTTCCTCTATACTGATCTCCCTTCAATTTTCATGAGACCCCCTCCCACCTTTCTTTCCTTTTTCCTCTCTAGCTTCCACATGAGAGAAAACACACAACCTTGACTTTCAATTTGACTTACATTTCTTTTTTTTTATTTGTTTTAATTAGTTACACATGACAGTACAATGATCTTGACATATCACACTTTTGAATCAGATGGGGTATAATTTCTCATTTTTCTGAGTGTACAGGTTGCAGAATCACATTGGTCATTCAGTCACGTATATACACACAGCAATAATAATGTCTATTTTATTCTGCTGACCTTTCTTTCCCCCCTTCCCCTCCCCTCCCCTCCCATCACTTCTCTCTACCCAATCTAATGTGACACACTTCTTTTTTTTCTTTTTCCTCACATCGTCATACATGTATTCTGTATAACGATGAGGGTCTCCTTCCATCTTCCGTGCAATTCCCCTTCTCCCTACCTTTCCCTCCCATTCTCTTCCCTATTTAGTGATAATCTTCTTCTCAAGCTCTTCTTCCCTACCCCATTTTGAGTCACCCTCCTTATATCAGAGAAGACATTCGGCATTTGTTTTTTAAAATGGACAGAATGTAGAGACCGTTGTGTTAAGAAATATAAGTCAAACTTCACTTAACATAATCTGCTCTAATGCCATCCATTTCCCTGCAAATGCCATGATCTTGTTATTTTTTAGCACTGAGTAATATTCCATTGTGTATATATGCCATATTTTTTTAAATAGAGAGAGAGAGAGAGAGAGAGAATTTTTTAATTTTTTTTTTTTTTAGTTTTTTCGGTTAGTTTTTTGTTTGTATATGGTGCTGAGGATCAAACCCGGGCTGCATGCATGCCAGGTGAGCGCGCTACCGCTTGAGCCACATCCCAGCCCCATATATGCCACATTTTTAATCCATTCATCCATTGAAGGTTATCTAGGTTGGTTCCACAGTCTAGCTATTGTGAATTGTGCTGCTACAATCATTGATGTGGCTGTGTCCCTGTAGTATGCTSTTTTTAGGTCTTTTGGGTACAGTCCGAGAAGAGGAATAGCTGGGTCAAATGGTGGTTCCATTCCCATATTTCCAAGGAATCTCCATACTGCTTTCCAAATTGGCTGCACCAATTTGCAGTCCCACCAGCAACGTATGAGTATACCTTTTTCCCCCGCATCCTCGCCAGCACTTGTTGTTGTTTGACTTCATGATGTCACAACCTTGACTTTCAGTTTGACTTATATTTCCTAACACAATGGTCTCTACATTCTGTCCATTTTCCTGCAAATGCCATAATTTAATTTTTCTTTATGGCTGAATACAATTCCATTGTGTGCAAATATATCACATTTTCTTTGTCCATTCATCTACTAATGGACATAGGCTCGTTCCATAGTTTGGCTATTGTGAATTGTGCTGCTATACACATGGGTGTATGCATGTATCACTGTAGTATGATGACTTTAATTCATTAGGATGAATACCAAGGAGTGGTATAACTGGGTCATATGGTGGCTCCACTCCTAGAAGTTTGAGGAACCTCCATACTGATTTCCACAGTGAGAGTACTAATTTACACTTCCTCTTTCTCCACATCCTCTCCAGCATTCATTATTATTTGTATTCTTGATGATGACCGCCATTCTGACGGGTGTGAGATGAAATCTCAGAGCAGTTCTGATTTGCGTTTGCTAATGCTGTTGAATATTTTTTCATATATTTGTTGGCCATTTGTTTTTATTCTTTTGAGAAATGATTAATTCATTTTCCCATTTATTGGGTTATTTGATTTTTTTAATATAACGTTTTCTGAGTTCTTTATATATTCTAGATATTAATCCTCGGTTAGAATAGTAGCTAGCAAAAATTTTTCTCCCATTCTGTAGCTTCTCCCTTCATGTTCCTAATTGTTTCCTTTGCCGTGCAGAATTTGATGCTGCCCAGTTTATTAACTCTTGACATTACTTCCTGAGCTTTAGGAGTCCAATTGAGAAAGTCATTGTCTATGCCCAAAAACTGAACTGTTGACCTTACATTTTCTTCTAGGGGTTGCATAGTTTCTGGTATAATTCCTAGGTCTTTGATTCATTTTGAGTGGATTTTTATGCAGGGTGAGAGGTAAGGGTCTAGTTTCCTTCTTCTACATAGAGATGATCAGTCCCGTGTGTTTAAAAGGCTGCCTTCTGCAGTGTGCGTGTTTGGCACCCTTGTCAAGGATCCAATGACGGATATATAGCAGTTTTTCAGGCAGAGGGCAAGACTGATTATCTCCCACCCAATTACCTTCCCAGCAGAGGCTGACTGAGGCCATGGAAGCAGCTCCATGCAGGACCCACAGTGACCCCCAGTCAGAGGATCAGTGAGACCAGCACCCCCAGATGACCTCCTCCGCTCTCTACCTCTTCCTGCCCTGCCAACACCACTGGGAAGAGAGGGACCCCCAACCCACGGCCTACCTGATGGCCCCTGATAGCAAATGACCATGGAAAAGGTGGGAAGAGACAAAATAATATCAGCACCAGGGGAGATTTTGAGTAGTCTGAGTAACATGTGCTAAATAAGACGGCCTCTTCCAATACATGGAGGCTAAGCAGAGCTCTCAGAAATTTCTATGTCAGAAGCCACTAAGCACAAGCACAGATACAGAGGCTCAGATGTGCACACTCTTTTCCCTGATGCCTGCCTGCTATGGTCGGGGTGTGTCTTGAGTGTATTCCAAAAGGTTCCTGTGCTGAAAGCTTCCTCCCCAGTGTGAAGATGTTGACTGGTCGTGGAACTTTTTAAGAGGTGGGGCCTAGTGTAGTGGAAGGTAATTAGGTCCTTGGGGGCATCACCCTCAGAAGGACTTGATCCTAGTGTTGTGAGCTAGTTCTCTCTAAAGAGGGTAAGGCCATCCCATGTACCTGGACCCTTTGCATGTGGTTGGTTCTCTGTTTCTCTACTATGCTGTAAAACAGTCAGGATGCTAATGCCATGCTATTTGGACCCTTCAGCCACTGGAATTGTGAGCCAAATAAACTTTTTTCTTCATAAAGTACCCAGCCGCGGGTGCTTAATTGTAGCAACAGAAAACAAATTAAC